TGAACATAGCGAAAGGGTAAGCAATTGAAACTTGAGTTTTCCCAAAAATTGATGCCATGCCGGCACTCCTCCTTTTCCTAAGGAAACAGGGTGACATATCAAAGCCCTTTTAATCATTTCCCTCAATTAGGAATGCACGGAAAATATAGCATCTAGTTCTGTGTATCAAACGAGAAAACTGGCTGTTACCTCGGATTTAAGATATATAGAAACAAACCCATCGTTGGAGAATTCTTGTGAGGAAACGGCTCCAAATGACATCTAATAGATAAAGAAATGTAAACTTCTTGTTTAATCTGGTATTTTTTATGGTTAATTTGTTTTCTTGTGGTGGTTGAAATTTACCATCAAACCGCGAGGGCTATGGCATTTTCGTATGGAAAGAATATATGTACCAAACACAAAATATCAATTACCAAGAAAATATCCAATTAAATAATACAAAATAAATACAAGATTTAACTGATGTCAAAAATATAAGTGCCTTAAACCGCCTTACAATCCTAAGATTTCTGGGGCTTAACAAGGAAACATATATTATTTAAACGGGATTGAGATACACAACTAAAGGAAAAGCATGCTGAACTATATATCACATCGTGTCTCCCGTCAATTAGAGGCATCCCTGCCGTAATATTGTTCGAGTGTCTTTGCAGGAATACGGTGAAGAAGCTCCCGTGGAAAGATTCGGAGCAAAGTCCATGCTAAGTCAAGCGACTGGAAGATGTTTCGAGTGTCATAAGCTCCTTGCGCGACAAACTTCCTCTCAAATTTGTCAAGGAACTCCAGATATAGCTGGAACATTCAACCAGAATTCTATCAGTTATCTAATTGGTTATTGTTACTGGAAGTTAACAAAACTAACCGCATGTTTGGCTAAGCTTAAATCATTTACATATAAATAAATAAGTTTTAGAATAAGTAACTTCTTTCATTGATTAAATATTCTTAAGCTTAGCCAACAAGCTCAAAATGTTCATTCATAAGTTAGAGACCAGATCCTCTGAGGAAAGTGCTTCTTCTCCAACCACAGCTTTCATTGCCTGAACATCCTTCCCTATAGCATAATTTGCATATAACTAAAAAAATAACAAAGAATTGATAAGCAGATAAAACACTGAATTTTGAATGGAAAGTTGAAATCAAGAGCCTTTAGCATAAAGAAGTGCAGGGGTGATGAGGGAGAGGGGAACACAAATGTTTGTACTACAAATAGCCATTCTTACCTGGTTAGAGACGTCAGAGTGATCCCTGCGAGTCATGCCTTCACCAATGGCACTCTGCAATAAATTCATGCGATTAATATGGAGTTCATGTTATTCTTTATTTGGTCCCAAGTGAAACCAGTCAAACTACACAAAGCTTACATACCTTCATCAAACGAGACAAGGATGGCAGCACATTGATTGGAGGATATATCTGTTCATTTCAGATAGACAACTTAATTCAGGCAAGTTTCATAGTCCACAAAATTCAAGAGATTTTGGGATGAGATGGACTTTTAACAAGTATTTAACCTCATTAGCCTTTAAAATGAAAATTCAACAGAATTTTGAATTAAACAATTCGCAAATATATAAACAACAAACCTAAATTCTAGGTTCTTGAACATAATTCTTCTCCTAATCTGCGACTAAAAGTGGCTTTAAGAGATATTAAGAGGATGGTCTCATATGTTAAAGAAACTAGGTTGAATATCAGAATTTCATGAAAGATTTATGATCCCATTGGTGATACTTTGATCTGTGTCAACAAGCATAAACTAATTCATGTTTTCAAGACATCTTGTACCTGCCGATTATGAAGCTGCCTGTCAATATATATCTGTCCTTCAGTAATATAGCCCGTAAGATCCGGAGTTGGATGTGTAATATCTGGCAGTTGACATAAGAAAACAGGCAGTCTTATCTACAGATATAACAAAAGAAAGAAATAGCAGTAGCCAGATAGTTGACGAGAAAGTTATACCATCATTTGGCATGGTCAAAATAGGAATTTGCGTTATGGAGCCCTTTCGCCCTTCAATACGACCAGCTCGCTCATAGATTGTTGCCAGGTCAGTATACATATAACCAGGATATCCACGCCTTCCAGGTACTTCCTCTCGTGCAGCAGACACCTATAGCAGCAATCAATATCTTAGGAGCATGTTTGCTAAACTAAAAAGGTTTACTACCAATTGAAAAGGGAATAAATTACTTATTTTGACAATAAAACAGAGTTAAAAAGGTTTACTACTAATTGAAAAGGGAATAAATTACTTATTTTGACAATAAAACAGAGTTACTTGCAAAAATATCTAATTACTTTTACTTAGATGTAATAAAAAGAGTAACATATCCAAATATGTTCGGAAACAAAGGGGTCACTCAAAAGTAACTTTCACTTATTGTAAAGCATTACCAAACATGCTCAGTTATGCCAATAGGGAACAGTAATTGAGAAGAGATGTGCCAAAAGTTCAAATCGGACATCAAACCAAAGACAAGATACAATTTCATATAATGCTTGAGGATTTGTAAATTGTTAAAGGAAATCCTAGTGCAATAAGGCAGATGAAGCAGAATAATTATGCAGATGTTACCTCGCGGAGAGCATCGGCATAAGAGCTCATATCTGTCAATATGACAAGAACATGCTTTCCACATTCATATGCTAAATACTCCGCCGTTGTCAGAGCAATACGGGGAGTAATAATTCTTTCTATTGTCGGGTCATTGGCCTGCATAATAATCATTGTCAATAACAGATGAAAATGATGGCACCTTCACTGGAGATTCATGTTAAAAGAATATTAAAAAACACACTTTGCAGAGGCAAATGTCACCATTAGATAAAAATTGAATCTACATACCAGGTTTAAGAAAAGGGTCACTCTCTCCATGGATCCATTTTCCTCAAAATCACGTTTGAAGAACTGTGCTGTCTCCATGTTGACTCCCATTGCAGCAAAAACAATGGCAAAATTGTCCTCTCCATCATCCTGTAACATCGAGCATATCATAAGTATCATCTTGATATTATTTCAAGCACCTGAGAAGTCGTAAGATGCAGATAACTATACAATTCCCTCACAATCGGAAAGTAGATAGAACTACATGTTTTCTGATTTCTGAGAGTTTAAAAGTCCCAAGAAATTTATCAGCAATTTTTGCATTATCGGAAACAACTTGAGATTTTGGAGATTATGCTACATTCCCAAGCATGGAAGAAATCTTTAAATAATAAGAAAAAGAAACACCTCTCCGCTCATTTCAGTTTTAACAATATCGTGCATAGACTTTAACAAGTGACATAACTAAACATCTAAACCAAAAATCGATACTTGTGGTAGTATAGTGTCAACTCTCAAGAGAGCAGCAGGTCTTCTATATATAGAGAATAAAGGAGCCGCCATAGTAAACATAGTGATGGAAAAAGGGTCAAAACCCACATTATTGGTAATGCATTAACTGAACTTGCTAGTTATCCTTCTTTGCAAACCCTATGAGGTACTCTGTAGGGTTTTAATCTCGTTTCCCAAACTCTCCCACATCCATTTTATCAGATATCCATGATTACCAGAATTACTTACGTTCAGAGCCAATTTTAGGAAATAAGACATATAAATATTATCTCGAAGACTACAAGTCATTAAGCTATTTCTTAAAAATAATTCAGCTAAAAATGGAAATCAAACAAGACCAGTCATAAAAGAAATGCATTCAGATTATTTACTTTTTATTTTTTATGAAAGACTAGTGTATAAATAAATGAAATTGGTGATCACCTACCTCAAGAAGATTATCAGATTTCTCTAACCGCTTTACCAAACCAGCCTGACGACAGATCTGGGCAGCTATTTCATTGTGGGGAAGACCAGCAGCAGAGAATAGAGGAATTTTTTGTCCTCGGGCAATTGAATTCATGACATCAATTGTTGAAATTCCAGACTGTATCATTTCTTCAGGATAGGTTCTCTCACTAGGATTGATGGAACTCCCTGAAGTAAAATAGTCATCGACAGCACAAGTGAACATATGATGTATACAAAGAAAGGTCATAAAAACTAACTGAGTGATGATACTTGCCAGAAATATCCAAGTAAGCCTCAGGTAAAATGGGAGGACCATTGTCAATGGGTTTCCCAGAACCATTAAATATACGTCCAAGCATGTCCAATGAGACAGGTGTCTTTAGAACCTGTAGATAGATTACATCAACACTCTTATGAGAGCAAACATAAAAGCATTAATAGATCGTACGATAATATATGTTAGCAAAAAAAAGTCTGGTAACCTAAACTAATGATATACGTTTCAATTTTGGATCAATCCCGGTACTTGATGAAAAAGTTGGTATATCAGTAAAAGCACAAGCAAAGTCCATTCACAAGGATATTTTGTGTACATCATCTAAAAGGTACAGGTCAGAAGTATCAATATTGCAGTTCAAAAATCGATCCTACCAATTTCAATATATACATCATCTAAAACCCTGATTTGGCAGTGAAAAATGTGAGAACCTTCCTAGATCAACATATCCCAAAAGGTTTATTTTTCTTCTTTCTTCCATCGGGACTCTAGCATTTGGTGCCTTCTTTAAGAGGTTGGAATGCTTGATTTTTGTAATATTTTTCATACTCGCAACGCGGAACTTCCCTAGATATGCTAATGATTATTCTCATATTTAAATAAGAAATTCTGAACTGGGTGAAAATCAATTCCAGACAAAAAGATAAATTGAAATACAAGAAAATAAATGAAACTGACTATAGTTTGATTTCTAGTGCAATAGATAGATAAATGAATAAATGCAAGAAAATATATAGTACCTCTCCTGTAAACTGGACAGTTGTAAATTTATTGTCAATCCCAGATGTTCCTTCAAAAACCTGACCAAAAATTCAAAGAAAAGGAATCAGTTCCTCACATGAGTACATTCATACAAAATTTAACAAGAACATATAAAAGGTTTAGCATTTTTTGTGCTTTGGGAAATGGGAACCTCGGCCCCTGGTGTGGGGTGGGGATTACACCAAGGACCTCAAGCTAATCATTTAATCATATTAGCTCCTTGCTAAACGTCATAGACAAATGATTGGGATGTCATAGGCTTGTCGAACATATCTCTCAAAGAATTCAAGAAAAAGGGATGTTTTAGAGGATGCTCAACAGCTGACCATTTCATTACCTAAGTGACCAAGGACAAACAAAAAGAAAAGGAATGATCAAGCCACTTGAAAAATGAGAAAAAGAAATCCATGGATAAGGAACATGAGCATAAACTCACAATAAAATGACGGTGAATGACATAATGAACCCACTCAACATATCAGAAAGGAATTTGCTGAAGCTCACCTGAACAACAGCCTTCTCCCCATCAACTTCCAAGACTTGTCCACGGCGAGTTGTTCCATCTCCTAAACGGATGTTGACAATCTCCTGGTACTTGGGTCCCTGAAATAGTGCCATAGAGAACAAATTTTAATCATGTTTCCTATATAAGCATATACTTCTAAAAAGTAATATGGACACAACATAACACATTACATATACTGCAAAAATAGAAAAGCAGAACAGAAGGCACGCTGTTCACCTTGACTTTATCAAGGATAACCAGAGGTCCAGCAACTCCAGAGAGAGTTCTATACTCTGCAAAAATACAAGTATAGAAGTGTGCATTAATGATAGATATTCAGAACTATGAGAGGCATGTAAGACCTAGTTCATTTCTACTTGACATACTTTTCTTCAGTTTTGACATAAGATAGATAGCTTACATAGTAGTTGTTAAGGATCTAATCAGAGTAAAACTTAAATTTTGAGAGAAAATAAAAAGCCATTCCCTTATTGTCCAATGAAAACTAAACCCCTTCAATAGCTTTTAGTAAAACTTGATGAAATGTGTGATTGAAAAGTTGATAAAAGTCGTGGGTCTCGGAATATTAGGTGCCCATATCCCAAAGAACAGCGGATGATCCAATTTGTGACTCCCCCTACCGATCGTTAATCTATTTAATATTAGCTTTCCATAAAGATATACATCATTTTGAGAGGTCATATAGCAAGGTTACTTACAAAAGTTGACCAGAAAGTAAAAGACGAGAGAGAGAGAGAGAGATAACTTTCTCCATGTGTTTTGCTTTATGCAATGATAGAGGTTCTACTGTCGCATAAGAGCTCCATCCCATAGCAAGAGGTTTTTGTTGAGGACAACAAATATCATTAAACTGAAGTATCAGAATACTTCTTGGGAATTTTCTAAAGTGGACCAATACAATACAAAAATTTCATTTCCCCCCCCCCCCCCCCCCCCGGGAAAAAAAATTCCCCTATAGCATTAGATACAAAAACAGACATGAATAGAAAAGCAGTTCATGAGCAAATAAAAACAAATTTAAATGCAGAAGGAAATGGAAAATAATGTACATAAGAAAAGTCAAAGAAAGAACATACCCATCCCAATCTCCAAAGTTCCCTCCTCCATGTCCACCTTGTTCTGTGACACAGCCATATTTACTTAACCTGAATAATCCATAAAATTCCAAAAAAAAAAAAAAAATGGTCATTAACACGACTTTTAAGCATAAAAACAACTTCCCAATCCTGTATTTTACATATCCGTACAATTGAGTTCTCCGGGTTTCGATATAGCGTAAAAAAAGGTTCTTCGAATCAAGGTTAAAATCGCTAACATTTAAAAGCATGAACTTTACTATCCTCAATATTTGTATCACTAATTACTCATTAATCATACGTAAGCAACCTATATCATGCGTTCCGTCAGTCAATAACAGATAGGAATTTAGTTGAACACAGCATGATCAGTACAGTTTCCCTGAAGTCGAAGTTGTAAATACTTAAGCATATATACATGTATGGAATTGGCAAAACCAAGATTCCAGAAATGGATCTGAAAAAGCAGTTACCTTTCTTTTCAATTGCTGACCGGTAGAGAGAGCAGAAACTGCGACCTGATCTTCGATTTCGAGTATAGTTGGCAGATATTTTGAATTACTGTGATTAATTTATACAGTAAATCGCTCGTATCAATTTCGATATTCTTACGGAATTAAACCATTCGAGGTCGGCATGAAAATGTGATCGCTGTCTGAGTCCATATTTCAAATTTGGGGACCCGTCTCCATTGTGTGGTTTTGGTGTATTATTTATTATGTGGTCCATAGAACATGTCTCCATGGAAAAGTAAATAAGTAAAATTGTATTTATTTACTATATAAATAAAATGACTTGTTTTTTTATACAAACAAGTCGTATCAAGAGAACAAATTTGTATACTGATGACAATTTTTTTTTTTTCGAAATTTATTTGACATTCTGATTTATACGAAATCTCCATAGTTATGAATCTTGTAAATTTACGAAGAAGGGAAAAAGTAATATTGTTTAAAATTGGACCTCATATCGCACAGTAGATAGAGAGAATCGTCAGTACACTGTCACCTAAATCGATGCTAACATTATTCTAACAAAAATACCAAGTACTTAAACAAATGTTTTTTTGTCAGACAATTTTATAGGATCATTGATATTGGCAAATTCAATTATCTGTCCCCACAAAATCCAGGAGGATAATTTGGGTATGATAAACTTCTAACAATGGCATATTCTTTGCGTGTACTTGTAAGAATTTCTATATATGCCCCCACATAACCCAGAATGATAATTTGGGTATTATTGTGTAGAAAATTAGAAATCATCTGCCTCATATGACTAATGGTCATTTTTGTACTAAAAAAATGAAGGATATTGTAACATGTGCATTAAATTTTACATAATAAATTACATAATATTACATGTCATTCTATCATTTGCTTGTCTAAAACAAAGTTAACTTTTTTATTTAATCTTTTTCATCCACGTCATTTTATGTAATCTCTTATATATCATTTTTATGTACAAAAAACATAATCCAAAAATAAAAGTGTAGTCATTGATATAATTAAGAACCCTGCTAGGCTTACAGGGCTTGTTTCACAAGTCCTTGCCAGGCTACACACATACGTGGGGCTCACGTAAATTTTTTTTTTTAATAATACATGTGAGGCCCCTGCACAGTCAGTGAGGAGTCCTGTATAACATCTGTGAGTAATGCTCATAATTTAATTAGAATAGAGTACAAATTATGAACAAGATTTTAACTTATTTTTTATAAATTATTGTCACTCGTGGTGCTTCAAGAGAAGGCAGGATCATCACCGCAGGAAGTAGTTAGACCATGGTAGCTGCTCTATAATATCATTCAGGTTTCTATTTAGAATGCGCAGCGATTGAATATGAGGCTCATCTTCTTGAACAGGCAATATTTTAGCAAAAGTTCCTTCCTTGAGATAGTCGATGATTCTGTTGGCGGCCTCGAGCCCAGTTACATAAGATTTCTCCTGACGAAATGAATAAACTAGCTAGTCAACCATCTTGGAGCAAAAGTGAAATTTAGGGCGTATTGATTTGGAGAATTGATTTTTTGATCGTTAAGAGAAAATTGGGGGCCACCGTGAGTAAAGAAGTCAAAATGTACAGTTGGAATAGTGAAATAATGATCAAAAAATCAATTTTTTAGAGTGAAAAATCGCT